GCCAATTTTCGGCCATTTGGAACTTTGACCGGCCGCCATTTTGAAACGGTTTGAGATAATGACTTCCGGTTTGCGCGAAAAATTTTCTTTTTTTATGCTCTTTCGAACGAGGTATCACAAAGGGGGTCTTCCCATTTGAAAATTAAAAGTTAGGGTCCGTAACCCCCCCAAAATGGGGCCCCCCAAAAATTTTGGGGGGTCAAAAAGTAGCTCCCTTTGATCTAGGAACACCCTCCAAGTTTCAAATCTCTACCTCAATTAGGTCAAAAGTTAGAGGGGGGGGGAGGGGACTTTTCGAACACCCTGTAATACACTGGAGGAGAAAGTGATAATTTAACCACCTCCTTACAGGACCACTGAGCGGCCGGTCGGCGCTCAGTGGGCCTCTAAAATAGCGCTACGGAGCTGTAATTTTAAAAACGTGAATTATTTGGAAGTATCTGTAATTTCTGAACTCAGCTACCCTCAAGAGTCCCTATTAGTGCATTTTGCTCAGTTTGAACATTCAATCTGATTTAATAACAGTCAAATCCGACTTTTTGGCACGCGAAAATCGGTCGGCGCGTGTTGAATAGAAACTTCAATCGATCATAACTCCGGAACCGTTTGGTTCCCCAGCTTAATGGACCACTCGTTGGATGCGGAAAAAGACGAACAATTTAAAAAACTGGTTTTGGTTCAAATAAAAAATTGAGATCTTTGTAAATTTCTCGTTTAAAAGAAATTTTCTAGATCTAAAAACTGGAAAAAAGCACATATGTTGACTTAAAAATGTGATATCGGGATTTCGACCTTTAGAATATTAAAGTATGCAATTTTAGACGATTTTTCGTCCGAACCGGCCCTCGATATCTTTCTTCGTTCGAGAGATATCGAGGTTCACAGGTTTTGACTTCCACCCCCCCCCCTAGCTCCCCCCCAAAATTTTTTGGGGGTCTGAAAATTTGGGAAAAGAAGCGCTCAAGTATGAGTAATCAATAGACAAAGTCTGAAGAAATTCCAGAGAGGGGGCGAAAAAAGCCGTTTTTGCATCAAGCTCTTTCCTTGTCAGGAGATCCAATTATGGAAAAAGTCATTCAGTAGCTAGTTGAAAGATGGCAAGCTTTAAAAATAACCAGGAAGGGTGAACAGATGGAGGATCAGTGTTTTATTCTAGTGATTAGTATATTGGTCGAAAATTTCCTGATTTTTCCCAAGAATTCATTGACTTTTTCCAGTTGGCAAAAATTCCCTAACTTTCACTGGTTATCCCGGATTTCCAGACCGCTGGCAACCCTGCAAATAAAAAGTTGATGCTCCTGAGGAGGTGTTGACAATTAGAAAAATATGCAAGAAATTGCTTGAACAGAATATGGAGGATTACCTTCATTAAGTTCATTTTCAGGTATAATAGCTTGCAGGGCTAATTTCTCGAGACTCTTATTCTCTTTGTTCTCCTCCAGATCCGTTTCCATTGGTTCACTTGATTTCAGTTTGAGCATGACTTCAAAGACTTTAGGTTCCACACAGAGGATTTTCAACCCTTGAGAGTTTTTCACCTGGACCATCATCATCTTTGGGCCTGCCCGTAGTCCACACTGTCTGGCGTCTAGTTTCTTTAGGATCCTTGTAGACGACAACCACAACCAACCCCACTGTCCGTGGATACGGTACTCCTCGCCTTTCTGTTTCCATACTTGATGTTTCAGACCGAGGGTGTACTTGACAAAGTTATAAAGTCTGTTCCTTTCTTCTTCATCATCTTTCTCCTTCTTTTCCTTTTTTTCTATCCGTTTTCGCTCTTCACGTTCAATGGCTGTGTGTCGTTGCAATTTAACGTGTCCTAAAAATAGAGGATGAAACATAGGAGACGTTAGGAGCTACATATTCTCTTCAGATGTTACACATTGCTTGAAGAACTTTCCCCAAAAAGCAGTACATTTAACATGGTGCTAAAGCTTGGAATAATTAATGGCATGCTACAGCGTTTGTCACTGTGGGAGTTACATCCATTTCAATAGTAAAAATCTTGGCTAACAAGATAAAGAGATTTTCATTGATTAGCATGAGATTCCGCATAAATGATGATGTCATAGAAGATGAGCTAGCATCACTGTACTGCTGAGAGGGGAGCATTTGCGCCAATAACGTTAGTCTTGCGTTGCTGAAGGGCACCTGCTCAGTTTCAGTGTTTCAACTCTGCTCACAAAAACACCGGATCTCCCTGTTAGTTTTGGGGACTTTTCCGACCCCATTCCAAAAACGGAGAAGTACGGGTACCCTGAAATCATCTCTAGTATCAGAGAGAAAAATCTGAACTCCATATTCCGGTTACATTAGGAAGCTCTCCTTGTAAATCACATTGGTCTCGTTTGATTGAAAAGATACAGACTAATTTGAATGTATTTCTGGAACATTTTCAGCAAGTCTGCTTACTTTTGGATTTGTACATTGTGGAATAAAACCCTTAATTGCATTATCACATATACTATACGCCATAGGAGTCCTTCAGAGTAGACATATGAGGTACTTACTAAGTCAATTGGAAATAGTAAGATTAACAAATCTCTCAAGTGATTGGTTGGAAAAAGAAAAAAAAAGTGAAACTTAAACTTACCGAGTTGGTCGTGCCAGACTGCAGCATAAACAACAGGCTTGACACAGGCTTGGAAGACGATCATTGCACGAGCAAAATCTCTAGCATTGTTGCATGCAGTCACAGCAGCAGTCCACGGTTTACGCAGCTGGGACCAGTTGATGTGCATGAATGCTGATGGAATATTGCTTTCCAACTGGAGGAGTGTATTTCTCAAAGTACTCACTAACTGAGACCGGCTCCCATAAACACTTCCCACCCACTTGAATTCTGCGGCTTGCGTCAAGGAGAATTTGTGTGACATATGGCGCTTCTTGTCCCGTTCTTCATTTTTCTGAAGTTTGTTCAGTGCAATGGAATTGGTACTGTACTGGTTTACGTAAGTTTTGTACTGGTTTTCCATACCTAGCTTAAAAAGTAGGGTTCCCGAGGCAATTTGCTGCGCTTTCAGTCTAGTTAGCCTAGTGTCACCAAGAATTTTATCTGTTGAAATGTCATCTTTTTTTTTATCAAATCTCTCAAGTTCTTTTGATGCGATTGTCGTTGATCGCCTTTTGAGATCTTCCATGTTAAATGTTCGAGGTTGCAAAGAACCTGTCTTTGACCTCGTAGTTATGCCAGGTTTTCTACCTGTCATATCTTCTGTATCATCATCCATGCTTTCATCTTCTGTTTTTTCACCTGAACTTGTTGCAACACCTGCCGAGAGAAAGATTTTAAAGATTTTCAGATTAAAATCAAACAGAGCAAAGAGTGAATAAAGAGAAAAAAATTAGATTAATTGTACCCTGCAAACTCCTTATGGAAATGCATGCCCTGCTCGATTGCTTCGATAAGGCATCGGCCATGTTGAGCAAGGATTGAATGGCACGACTCCTCCAGCGAAATGTTTACCTGTGCCGTAGTATCCTTTTTGAAGCGGGAAACTTAAAAAAAACTTAAATTTCTCACACAGCTTATGAAGTTAGGAGTACATTTCAGAGTTTGCCGGTACGCTCATGGTCATTTTTATTGTGAGGAAGATGGTCGACAATATCATGTTTGAAGGGCAGAGCTAATAAACTGCTATTTCAGAGGATTAAATCAAGCTTTGGCACTTTTGAAGTATGGTTTCTGGAGGTAAATTTGACGCTCTTTTGAAAGAGCTCAGCAGTTTTTTTCTCAGATTATCTTGGCAGGAGATATGAACCAAAGTTTCTCCAAAAATCAGCAAAAATGCGCCCTTTTTTTTAGCTACTTTTCAAAGAAAACGTTAATTTTATGACCAAAAAATTAAGCTAGGAAAGGAAAGGGAGGGTGATTTCTGTAGGAAATTTTATGTTCTTTCTGCTGATTTTCTTTTTTTTTTGTTTTTGTAAAATAAACAGTTGATGAGATATTTTAAAAAACTGATCATTGGTTTTCTCAATTTTGAAAAATTCAAAATTGCGACGCCCTGAGCACCAGACAATTTTTCTAAAGTTATTGTGGGCATTTTTGGGCTTCTGTATCACCGAGGAATCAAAAAAAATTGGTTTGATTCGAAGGCCAAACAAAAACCCAAATTTGTTGTGCGGTGTTATTTACCTTGAGGTGTAGGTTCAAGACAGTAAGGAGACAAGTTTGGATTTTTGTTTGCTTTAGTGCTTAATTTTCACTATTATATTAATTTTTGTCACCTGTGCACTTGAAGCAAGATATGTTCCCATTGTATGATAAAAGTGAGCACTGTCAAATTAACTTAATTTATGATACAATATAGATTAAGCCTCCTTGATGAAAAGTTTCCATAGGACTTGGGTCCAGAAATCTCAAACGAGCGGGGGTTTTGATGCCGCAAATACCCTGATTTGGACTATTCTCAAGATTTGTCTCCATGTAGCCACTGAACAGGGTAAACTTTATCAATTGAACCGTACCGTGCAAAAATCACTGATGTCCATTTTTCCAGTCTTGAGTTTTTTTGAGTTGATAATACTTTTCAGAGATAAATGCAACCAAGAAAATGGTGTTAATACTTGATTTAGGGTTATCCTCGTCCCAAAACAAGTATTGGCACCTCTATCATGATTGTGTCAACTTTTGAAAATTGATACAAGCATAAAAAAACTGATAGCTGAAAAAATGGACTCAAGCGGTTTTTGCATGACGCGATTCAATCAGGCTGAATTTTTTATATGATTCAATTTTGACCTTCCTGATAAATCACATCGTTAAAATGCCCAGAGAAAGCCTCTCTTATCCCCTGGAATACTCGATTTTCGGCGGATTTTACAACTTTCAGAAATGCACATGACTGCTGCAAGGAACAGGCTGACATTGGGTGAATTAGGATGCATTTTTACGATGATACAGGTCTGAATTTCTGGATGAGGAGAGACTCGGAGGTTCGGTCCTAAACTCCCGAAGAGGGAGGATTATAGCTGCTGAACATTCCCGTTTTGGCAGATTCTGGGATTTTTCATATCACCTGTAGATATTAGGGTTTGTGGACAAATTTTTAACAAGATACGGGTTGCACTTTTGTAATGAAAAGAATTCATACGGCTCAAATTTAAAAACCACGCATGATGACGAAAGGAGGGGATTCTCACCTACATACTCTATCTTGGCTAGATTTCAACGTTTCTCTTGGTACTTCTTGAGGGATATGCACTAAGATCAGGGGGTTGAATTGATTTGGTTGAACGTTTGAATTGGCGCAAGTTTCACCTCTCTTTTGAATTGTAGACGGAGTACTTGGGCCTGTTCCGAGTGTCCACGAGTGAATGAGATAGTAAAGAAGATAAAGACCACCGGAATAATTTTCAGATAATTTCTTGTTAGCTGCTAGAAGGTGAGGCTGTAAGAATTTGATGAATTTTTTATATACTGTCGGTCTAACCTTTTTGATACTTGAAAATACAGAACTTTCGTTCCTGTTCCTCTAATGAATGTCATCTTGGATCCCTGAGAATTTTTAACCGATTTCGAGAATTTTCCTACAATTAGTGACATACAGGGGGGCAGGGTGCGATTAGTCAATTTACTTGAATTTTTTATATGTTGTAAGTCTGAATTCAAAATACTTCAAGAACTTTGTCCAACAAACCCCATATAAGAGGGTAGGGGTTCTATTCCCAAGCGATGGAGTTCAGAGAGCTTTATGGGTTGATCTCAATATTTGTTATCTTATTACTTTCTCTCTCTGTTTCAAAAATGTAGGTTCCGCAACTTTTAATGGTGGTATAAAAATTAACAAATAAGACGGATGGAAGGAGCACAATAATTTTTCAGTTCAAGTTTTAAGGGCAATCCACAGAGATCATTAACTCAGACCAAAAAGCTGTAAAACTCTCAAGGGATAAAACTCCCTTTAATCAGGATTTCTGAACCCTAATTGTACGTATCTATTCGTTAAAAAGGTATCACTTGCAACAAGTAAAAAAAAACCGAAGTGGTTATTCGGCGATACAGTGCCCTGACTAGAAAATCCTCTAATAATCGCTAAGGTGCCTTTACCGGATTACTTTATGACCGCTAACCGGAAAACTTCCTACCGCTTAGGTGCCAACAGTACGTATACATGCTGCAGATAACACCATTATGCTAGGTACTTCAGGCCGAATGTAAATGCACATAGGTAATTCAGTGCTTCAATGTTCACGTAAACTCTAACTGTTCTCCGCACCCACTTCAAAAATTCTGCAGCTAAATGCACTTAAAAACTCAAGAATATTGCATTGCTATCACATGCAGGTCACACGAACCCGGTTTCTGACCCGAGTACTGGTGAGTCATTGATTTTTACGCATCCAAGATTTCCTTGTTTGCATAATTTCTCCAGATAATACCAATAGATCACCGTAGATGCCGTTTGCTTACTCATCCAGTGGAAACATCTTACCAGTAGGAAATTTTCCAGTTAGCGGTTAAAAAATCATCTGATAAAGGCACCTAAGCGGTAGGACATTTTCTGGTTTGCAGTCATTAAGTCATCCGGTAGACGCACCTTAGCGGTAGGAAGTTTTCCGGTTAACGGTTAAAAAGTCATCCAGTAAAGGCACCTTATCAGTAGGAAATTCTCCAGTTAGTGGTCATAGAATTGTCTAGAAAAGGCACCTTAGCAGAAGGAAATTCTCCGGTTAGCAGTCATAAAGTTACCCGGTAAAGGCACCTTAGCGATACTTGGCAGATTAGCTGGTCAGAGTACTGTACCGCCAAATTACGTTTTATTCGACGGTACCGCACCGCCAATAACAGAATCCAAAAAAAAATCTGCGAAATCGACTGATTTTTATATTTTCAACAGGTAAGTGCTTTAAGAATATCATGAAATCAGACCAAATTCCAGAGAGGAAAAAACCCCAGCAACTGACAGATTGCAAACACAAGTCCTAGCATGCTTTCCATTAAGGGGGTCAGACAATCATTTTCACAAAATTCGGCCGAGCCCACTTCTCCTATTACCAATGAATATTATATAAAATGGTAAAACCAGACTAGAATGCGATATTAGGGAGGGGGGTCAGGGTTTGAACAAACAGACCTGGGGTTTGGGTTGGGAAAAACTGCCATCACAATTTTTACCCTTGATGTCAAGACATGCAGAACATACAAATTGGCCTCCGGCCAATTTATGCGCAGCGCTTCGCTCCGGCATGTGGGGGGGCTTCGCTCCCCATCATGGTGCAAGAATCGCACTACACTTTCTCGCTTTTACTGGAATATTTAGAGAAATACTGCCAATTTCACAAAATCATAAAGTTTGATTGGAATTTTGATCGCAGGATAATAGTTATGAAATTTTTATTCAAACCACTGAACTTTATTGTAAATATCTTCCCGATATGTGATGAATTCATATATTCGGACTCGACTTGTTGATTTTATGAGGCATCTTCAATTAAATATGTAATTGATTAACGAAGTCTCCTATCAAAGGCGGCAAAAATCTTAGCTTTTCTACGATTCATTAGGATCCATTAGATTCATTGACATCATACTTCATACATCATACTTTCAATATCCTCTCGTGTAAACACTATGGAAGATAAGATTAAGTCTGTATCAAGCGAGCTACTGGCGCTTAAATCCCCTGTCAACTGTGAACCAGCCACATTTGAGGCAAATGTCGATGGTGTTCTTCAGGAAGTGGAAGAAAGGAAGCGGAGGGCTTGCAACTTAATCATGTATGGCGTCCGTCAAGCTAGGTCTGAGGGTGAAGATAAGGCTGCTGTTGTAAAGTTATTAAGAAAAATCAAGGACTTAAAGGTCGATGGAATGCGCATTATCAGGTTGAAATCCAATGCTGCCGACAAGCCGAAGCCAGTAAAGATTATATTTCCGTCTCGGTCTGATGTTATGAAAGTTCTTAGAGGTAAGGCTCTTCTCCCTAAGGGAGTGTCGGTTGCTAATGATAAGACTATGACGCAAAGACAATATCTGGTAAAGCTATCCAAAGCTAAAGACGAACACAATCTAACGTTCCCTGATGATCAAAAATCAATTAAGTACATACGAGGTACTCCAAAGTTAGTTAGTAATAAGCTGGATGCGGTAGCAGGGGCTTCTTCCTCCCAATCGGGAGGGAAGTGATGCCAGGCGTTTGATGCACAAATTCAAATTCAGTATGCCAATGCAGGGGGCTTACGCTCAGGTGATAAACTTCTTAATCTTAGAACTTTTTTTAATAGTCTTACAATTAAGCCTAACATTCTCGTCGTCACTGAGACTTGGTT